TTGTATTTTTCTGAGTTGAGACTTGCAGATATTGACCTGGGAATGCTACAAAAAATCTGATAGGGCATTCTTATAGAGACCAAAATTCATATAGATGGTGCTCAGGACTTGGACATAGAGCAGTATTCATACATATACATTGAATCACAATATTATGTCTGCTCTTTTTCCTGCTGTGACAGTGGTGGTAGGAAATACTCTGGACTGGAATAGATAAGTTTCTCAACGAAAATAAATAGGTTTAGGTTAATTTAACCATACCAGTATTGGATGAGGGGTCACCACACAGATCCTCATCGAAGCTGTGGTTTGTCAGTGATTTTCCTCAGCTGTACAAGTACTGAAGTGCTAATCCCAGAAAAAAAAAAATCTTGCCTCCCTGGATTTCACCTTTTCTGTTAGAGACCTGGATGTAAGATATAATAAAGAAATATTTTTAAGGTTTTTCTGGGTTACTGAAAACTTTCAAATAAAATATATACTGGTAAAAAAAAAAAAAAAGAAGCTACTAAAAAACATAGATTCCAAGGAATAACAATACAATGTGAATTCTGAGAACGATGAAGTACTTTCTGGAAAATATATTGTCTTGATGTAAAAGACAGCCCACCTCTAGTAATCGTACCATCATTTACAAACCACATCAGAGGGAACTAGTTTTAGAGCATAGTTGCTGTTTTCAGTGTTTCAGGTGCAGACCAGAGAAAAAATAGAAAGATACTTTGTCTTCACAATACCATCTTCCTTTCACCCTAAAATCTTCAGTAGAGGTTGTCTTAGTTGTCTAGTGCTGCTATATACAGAAATACCACATGTGGATGATTTTAACGAACAGAAACTTATTTTCTCACAGTTTAGGAGGCTAGAAGTCCAAATTGAGGGCGCCAGCTCTAGGGAAAGGCTGTCTCTCTCTGTCACCTTCGGAGGAAGGTCCTTATCTCTTTTCAGCTTCTGTTTCCTGGTTCTTTGGAGATCTTCCTGTGGCTTGGCCTCTATCTTCCCCCATCTCTGCTCTGCTTGCTGCTTTCTTAACCTGATGTTTTATATTTCAAAGGAGATTGACTTAAGACACACTCTACACTAATACTATCTTTTTAACATAACAAAGAAAGCCGTATTCCCAAATGGGATTATAACTATTATAGGGGTTAGGATTTACAACACATATTTTGCAGGGGAGGGGCACAATTCAATCCATAGCGGAAGTAGACACAGAAGATACAAATACAATTCCTTTATTATTTCCAGAGATCTGGAATTTTCCCAAGCTAAAAATGAAACATAACATAACCACGCCTTCATTTTCACCAAACTGCCTATACACTTACCAGCTATGAGAACAGAGCCTCAGGCTGTTGTATGCGACATGTTGAAGACTTGCCAGCAATAAGAAAGAGATTAGGCACGACTTGTTTTTCCAAACCCTGTTACTGATTTGCTTGTTTATCTGAATTCCTTCTCCCTTGCCGGAAACTTATTGTTACTCACCCAAAACCCCTTGTTCTGTTAATTGCTTTACTGCTTGCTGTATTGACTATAAAATAAACTTCTGGGACTGAAGCCGGGGTTCGACTCCTCAGAGTGACCCTCCTGGCCCCACTTCTCTGTAAGAGTTGTGGCATTGGTTACTGTCTTCGCCGTCCCGACAATTAGTCGCCGCTGCGACATCAGGCTGCATGGACTTTAGTATCACACTGCCATCAACGGAGACTGAACATGGAGGACAGAGGTAGCATCACAGTGTCTTTGACCATAACCTTAAGTCTATGATTGGACAAATTACTATAAAGCAACCCACTTGTGATATTTCTGTTACAGCAACACTAAGAAACTATGACACATGTATTCAAGAATAATAATAATATGCTAATAAGGAGCCCTGGTGGCACAGTGGTTAAGTGCTGGGCTGCTAACTGAAAGGTCAGCGGTTCAAACCCACCAGCTGCTCTGTGGAAGAAAGATGTGGCAATCTGCTTCTGTAAAGATTACAGCTTTGGAAACCCTACGGGGCAGTTCTACTCTGTCACATGGGGTCACTATGAGTCAGAATCAACTTGACAGCGAGTTATTAAAGGAAGTTAGGAAAATAAGAGCATTTGTAAGGAGTACTCAGAGGGAATGTGAATGTGAATTTGCATCAAAGTTTAAGAAAATAAATGATTTAAAATAGCATAGTGGATATAATGCATTGAAAACTGGAAAGTATCTGAAAATAAATGATTTAAAATAGCATAGTGGATATAATGCATTGAAAACTGGAAAGTATCTACGAATATAAAATATTGGTATTGGTCCTATAATCTCTAAAACGGAAGGACTTCTTTTTATTTTTACATGTATTAATAGTATGGAAGCTGAAAGAAGGGTGAAACCTGAATTGTGAGAACACATACAACTCAACATGGGAAGTTTTAATTTTTTTTTTTTTGCACAACAAAACCCAAAGTGTTCTTGAGTATATTTTTCCTCTGAAATATCTTAGATATTAAATTTTTATTGTTAAATTTGTGAGAGGTGGTACATTATGTAATTTTCTTCATATCACCTACTTTCCTCTTCTTTGTGTTGTGTCAAATTTATCATAGCTGCTTAGTTCGGAGAACCTATCAAAACTGAATCATTGTCTGCTTGGTTAAATGACAGATGTCAGGTTGGCTACCAGTCATTATCTACCTTTGTGACAGAAGTGATTTTCACTACATCTTCTTCTGAAACTAAGTTTTGCAGCCTGTACAAAGTACTATTTTTAAAGCTTTTTGGGTGATATGTTGTACACTGTATAAGTAAAGAATGTCCTGATATTTAGCCAGATTTTTAAATCTGGAATTTTACTTTTTATTCATTCATTTAATCATAAATTTTCTTAGTAAAATATTATTTTGAATCACATTTATGTATTATAATATAAGTATTATACTCAATCCTCTTCCTTTAAAACCCTACTCATGAATTTCATACTTTTGAGTTGAACTATTTCCTGGAAATAACCTTTCCAATCCTTTTATTCACCTGGATGAATTACGTTTAATGCTTATTGTCAATGAATTAAAATATTCTTCTAATATCAACATAAAAGTAATAATCATGAAAAGCAAAAACAACAACAATATCAACAGGATAGAAGTAGGCATTTGTTTTCTAAATTTTAAGAAAATACACCCATGATTGCCCTATTTTTTACCCAATTACAGGAAATAATGGATAACTTTTTAAAATGTTATGCTATTATTCATTTAATAAATCATCCATTTCACTTTTATGGAAATACATGGTATAGAAGAACAAGTTAAATGACATCATGATGAAACAGACAAATCTAGAATGTAGGTAGCACATACTACAAGACAACTGGCTTGGATGCGTCAAAAAAATTAGTATCATAAAAAAAGATGAGGGACTCTTCTAGAGTAAATAGACACAACACTCAAATAAAATTATGAACCTTGATTGAATTCTAGTTTAATAAAACAGTTTCTAAGACATTCCTTATAACAAGAAAGTAAGTTGTCTTAGTTATCTAGTATCTTAGTTATAACAGAAATACCACAAGTTGATGGCTTTAACAAATGGAAATTTATTTCCTCACAGTTTAGAAGGCTAGAAGTCTGAATTCAGGGCACTAGGTCTAGGGAAGGCTTTCTCTCTGTCAGCTCTGAAGGAAGGTCTTTGTCTCTTCTGAGCTTCTGCCCCTGGGCAATCTTCATGTGCTTGGCATCTTTCTGCTCGCTAGCTTACTTGTTTAATCTCTTTTATATCAGAAAAGAAATTGACTCAAGATATACCCTAATCCTACCTTATTAACATAACGTACATAACCTAATCCTACCTCATTAATGTAACGAATACAACCTATTCACAAATGGGATTATAACCACAGGCAGAGGTTAGGAATTAAAATACATATTTTTGGGGGACACAAGTCAATCCATAATATAAATGCATTTTAAAAAGTATTCAAGAGTGAATGTGAATTTTTATCAAAGTTAAATGAAGCTTACCCCTCTGTTCATTGTATAGTTATTTTAACTTTTCTATATATTTGAAAATTTTCATAATACAAGTATATTTTTAAACACAAAAATAGAGAATTAAAATGCCTAACAGCTTCAACATATATACTTTGTTTGGAACCTGATTTAATGAACCAACTCCAGAAAGACATTTTTAAAGATAATTGGTGAAATTTGAATATTTGATGAACATATTATATCATGACGTTATTAATTTTGAGAGTTGCGATAATTGAATTGAGGTTATGTTAAAAATGATCTTAACTATTATAAAGGAATATAAATAAAAATATTGACACATTCACAAGAAATTATCCAGCTGCGCTTGAAGATTTTCACGGGGCTCAAACTCATCAAAACTCATGGAAATGTGACGTGAGAGCAGGGCAAGAGCAAATACAAGAGTAAGGGGAATATTCCAGCGTCTCTGAGATGGGCGCACATGTCCGAACTCCGATTAAAAACTGGAAACTGCCTAGTCAAAGCCTTCTTTATACCTCATCCTAGGATTGAGGTCACTCCTTTCCACTTTCGGAAATTAATTTTTTTCCAGTTTCAAAACAGCCCATTGGTTCTATGAGGAAATTCGTCCATGCTTACCCTGTGGTTATGGATGTAAAGAAAAATCTTTCGAAATGCAAATGATTTTGGTACTTTGAGAGACGCTTCTTGAAAACATGAAGTTTATTGCTATTGACATGGAATAAAGGATTGGGATTTTCTTAACCTTTAGGAGAAAATAAATACTCGGGAAAGACGCAGGGTGGCGCTGCAGCCTTAGAAGCAGACGCCGTAAGCAGACACCGTTTTAGCCAGAGATACTCCGCCAAAGAAGCAAGCTGGAAGAGGAGACTTTCCAAGGCGGTTGCTCCGGAAGATAGGGGCTCTAGAATTGTCCACCCCTCCCACTATCTGCAAAATTGCTGGGAGTCGGATTCACCGTCAATGCGAGTCTGAGCTGGGTCAGGTTTTCGGGGAGACCAGAAGGCTATGGAGGCCGGAAAGGAAAAGGAGCGCGTTCTGAAACAAAGGCAAGTCCTGCTATTCTTTGTTTTGCTGGGCATAGCTCAGGCTGGTTTCCAGCCTAGGCACTATTCGGTAGCCGAGGAAATGGAGAGAGGCTCCTTTGTGGCTAATTTGTTAAAAGACCTGGGGCTGAAGATAGGTGAGCTAGCTGCGCGGGGCCCCCGGGTCGTTTCCAAAGGGAAAAAATTGAATTTGCAGGTCGATAGGCAGACCGGAGATTTGTTGTTAAATGAGAAATTGGACCGCGAGGAGCTGTGCGGCCCTACGGAGCCCTGTGTACTGCCCTTCCAGGTGTTACTGGAAAATCCTTTGCAGATTTTCCAGGCCGAACTACGGGTTAGGGACATAAATGATCATTCTCCGGTTTTTCTGGACAAGGAAATGATTTTGAAAATTTCAGAAAGTATCACTCCCAGAACTACTTTCCTAATAGAATGTGCCCAGGACTTAGACGTAGGAAACAACAGTCTACAAAATTACACAATAAGCCCCAATATCCACTTCCATCTTAAATTACAAGATAGTTCTAATGGCATATTACCACAGCTGGTGCTGGACAAAGCTCTGGATCGCGAAGAACAGCCTGAGATCAGGTTAACACTCACAGCGGTAGATGGTGGGACTCCACCCAGGTCTGGCTCCGCCCTGATCCTCGTTGAAGTCGTGGACATCAACGACAATGCCCCTGAGTTTGCAAAGCTACTCTATGAAGTACAAATCTCAGAGAACAGCCCCATTGGGTCGCAGGTTGCTACTGTCTCTGCTAGGGATTTAGACATTGGAACTTACGGAGAAATATCTTACACATTTTTCCAAGCCTCTGAAGACATTCGCAACACTTTTCGAATAAATACACAATCTGGAGAACTTCTTTTAACACAGAAACTGGATTTCGAATCCGTTCAGACTTACACAGTAAATGTTCAGGCAACAGATGGTGGGGGGCTTTCTGGAAGTTGTGTGGTGTTTGTCCAAGTGATGGATTTGAATGACAACCCTCCGGAACTAACCATATCTACACTTACCAACCATATCCCAGAAAATCTGCAGGAGACCATAGTTGCTGTATTCAGTGTTTCAGATCCTGACTCGGGAGACAACGGAAGAATGGTTTGCTTCATCCAAGAAGATCTTCCTTTCTTTCTGAAACCCTCTGTTGAGAATTTTTACACTCTTGTGATAAACACAGCGCTGGACCGAGAGACCAGATCCGAGTATAACGTCACCATCACCGTCACAGACTTGGGATCCCCCAGGTTGAAAACCGACCACAACATAACTATTTGGGTCTCAGATGTCAATGACAATGCTCCAACTTTCACTCAAAACTTTCACACCCTGTTCATCCGTGAAAACAACAGCCCTGCCCTGCACATGGGCAGCGTCAGCGCCACAGACAGAGACTCAGGCACCAACGCCCAAATCACCTACTCGCTTTTGCCGCCCCAGGACCCGCACCTCCCCCTCGACTCCAACTTGGGAAAGTCATATAATTTTTATTGCCCCAGAAGTATAATAACAGCTACTTTAATAGCTTACCTTGGTCTCTATCAACGCGGACAACGGGCACCTGTTCGCTCTCAGGTCGCTGGATTACGAGGCCCTGCGAGCCTTCGAGTTCCGCGTGGGCGCCACAGACGCAGGCTCCCCGGCGCTGAGCAGCGAGGCGCTGGTGCGCGTGGTGGTCGTGGACGAAAACGACAACTCGCCCTTCGTGCTGTACCCGCTGCAGAACGGCTCTGCGCCCTGCACAGAACTGGTGCCCAGGGCAGCCGAGGCGGGCTACCTGGTGACCAAGGTGGTGGCGGTGGACGGCGACTCGGGCCAGAACGCCTGGCTGTCCTACCAGCTGCTCAAGGCCACGGAGCCCGGGCTGTTCAGCGTGTGGGCGCACAATGGCGAGGTGCACACCGCCAGGTTGCTGAGCGAGCGCGACGCTGCCAAGCACAGACTCATAGTGCTGGTCAAGGACAATGGCGAGCCTCCGCTATCAGCCACCGTCACGCTTCACGTGCTCCTTGTGGACGGCTTCTCGCAGCTCTACCTGCCGCTCCCAGAGATGGCCCCGGACGAGGCCCAGGCCGACTTGCTCACGGTCTACTTGGTCATTGCGTTGGCATCGGTCTCATCGCTCTTCCTGTTCTCCTTGGTCCTGTTCGTCGCGGTGCGACTGTGCGGGAGGAACAGGGCCGCCTTGGTAGGTCGCTGCCCGCTGCCCGAGGGCCACTTTCCCGGTCACTTGGTGGACGTGAGCGGCACTGGGACCCTGTCTCAGAGCTACCAGTATGAGGTTTGTCTGACCGGAGGTTCAGGGACCAGTGAGTTCAAGTTTCTGAAGCCGATTATCCCCAACTTCCTTTCTCAGGGTGCTGACAGGGTTAGTGAGACAAATACTAGCTTCAGGAATAGCTTTGAATTCAGTTAAATATTAATGAAGGATAGTTATGAATCGGAATGGACTCGACGGCAACGTGTTTGCTTTGTTTTGTTTTGTTTACTAGGGAGACCCTAAGGTGTCCCTGAGTAGCGGAAATGGTTAAGCTCTCGATTAATCCCTGGACCACTAACCGAAAGGTTAGTGATTCCATCCATAGGCACCAAAGAAGAAAGAACTGGTGATCTACTTGGGAAAGTTCACACCCTTGAAACACTATGAAGAGCAGTTCTACTCTGCAATGCATGGGGTCTGGTTTGTTTTAACTGTTTTACTAAGACTGGGTTCAGTTAGTTTGTGGAAAGTTTTTTTTTTTTTTAACTGCTTTGCCCATTCAGGATGTCTCCTTTTTATTTGAAATGTAACTATCGTATTCCAATTCTGAGCATGGTACTATTGTTTCTAATGTGTTGCTTCAGGGTGTGAAAAAATACATGTCAGTAGAGTGGATTCCGATTCACAGCGACCCTATAGGACAGAGTAGAACTGCCCTACGGGGTTTCCAAGGCTGAAGCAGACTGCCACATCCTTCCCACGTGAACCGGCTAGAGGGTTTGAACCACCAAGCACTTTACCACTGTGCCACCAGGGCTTCCTTTTCAGGATTTAAAAAAAAAAATCTGTTGCCGTGGAGTCGATTCTGACTCATAGCGACCTCATAGGACAGAGTAGAACTGCCCCATAGAGTTTCCAAGGAGCAGCTGGGGGATTTGAACTGCCAAACTTTTGGTTAGCAGCTGAGCTGTGCCACCAGGGCTCCTTTTCAGGTTATAGTGACTGTAAATTTTTTTGTGTGTGTTTGTTCTAATTGCTAATTAGTCTCACTGTTACTTAATTACATTTAAAGTGTGAAAGTAAAATTTCTATTTTCATAAATCTTTAATTTTTAAAGTTAGAGCACCCTTTTCCAAACTCATCTTCCAAATATCCTTTATATTTTTAATATTTGCTTTTACTTGATGGGCAAATTTTTTTCCATTCCAGAATATTTGAGTTTGTGTATACCATCTAAAGGAGCCCTGTGGCGCAATGGTGAAGCTCTCTGCTGCTAATGGAAAGGCTGACAGTTGGAACCCACTGGCTGCTCCATGGCAGAAAAGACCTGGCAGTCTGCTCCAGTAAAGATTACAGCCTAGGAAACCCTATAGGGCAGTTCTATTCAGTCATATAGGGTCTCTATGAGTTGGAATCGACTTGAAGGCAGACAACAGCTATCCTCTTGTTGTTAGGTGCCATGGAGTTCCAACTAATATCGACCCTATGTACAACAGAACGAAACACTTCTCAGTCCTGCGCTATCCTCACAATCACTATGCGTGAGCCCATTGTTGCAGCCACTGTGTCAAATCCATCTCATTGAGGGTCTTCCTTTATTTTGCTGTCCCTCCACTTTACCAAGCATGATGACCTTCTCCAGGGACTGTCCCTCTTGATAACATGTCCAAAGTATGTGAGATGAAGTCTTGATTCTAAGGAGCATTCTGGTATAAAATTATGACTCTTTAGAGATTGTGAGAACTGCAACTGTTGGTTTCCACAAACCATTCACATTGTAAGTGCTCAATAAGTATCTGTATCAAAATCACTAATACTCTAAATGTAGTTAAATAGCACATATCCAGTGATTTTCAAAGACATTCTAATTCTTCATACTATTTCAAATGGTTTTTAAAACAAACCCTCTGCTTATTTCAATCTCTTCTTAAAATATGTTTTAATTATTAAAAATCTTCTACTAGACAAATGGAAACAGAACGAAATATTGAGAATGCTGGCACATTGCGAACATTGTAACCAATGTCACAGAACAATTTGTACAAAAATGGTTAAATGGGAACCTAATTTGCTGTGTAAACTTTTACCTAAAACACAATAAAATTTTAAAAAGTCTTCTGCTAATTCTTAGCACTTCACTAAAATCCAAAAGATTTGAGGAGAATATGTCTTTTTTCTCGATTAACTTTGGAGACTTCAAACAGAGCTTGGCATTGCATTTTTCAAAAAATTTTGAAGAATTTAGTATTTAATTAGAAACAAGCTTGTGGGAAAAAAATGTATTTAGATCCACTCATTCTATTTTTTGCAGTGACTGACTACTTTTGCTATTCCCCTTTCAGCTCTCTAAACTTTTTGATGCTTTTCTTAGGTGCTTGAGGTATGTTTCTCAATGATTCTCCATTTTTTGTGGCATGATTAGCACAGTCGCCAGGACATTGTAAGCACTTAATAAAATTTTTGAATGACTGAAAGAAAAAAGTGTCTTTATTTTACCTGTGGTATATTGATACTTCAATACAATGAAATACTTAAAGGACAAAATTTGTCTGGGATCATATGCTCTCTGATGTACAAGGAATTATGTAATTTTTTGTTATTAAGTGAACTAGTCTCTTTTTCAAACATTAAGCAGTTATCAGTCCCTAGTATTTCTTCAATATATTTTTCTTTTTTTCTCTTCCTGTTTAATTTGAGTCTTCTCTTCTATCCACTGGCTTAAGGAATACATGTGGGGAAACGGTGGTTTTCAATTTTGTAATTTAAATCTCCTTCTACAGTTCCCTAAATGATTCATCAAACTTTCTTCATTTCTAACAGTTTAATTTCTGAATAATACATTAAGACAAAGTTTTAATTGTTAATTTTTTTCAGCCTATCTTAAAATTTTCTATCATTTTTACATATATTTGAATGAGCTATACTATTAACATTAAAATATGAATTTTGAAGGTCGTTTTCAGATTAGTAGAGATGTACAGCACTATGTAGGTATCAAAAGTCTCTAATCAACCAACTTGGGAAAGTCATATAATTTTTATTGCCCCAGAAGTATAATAACAGCTACTTTAATAGCTTACCATTATGATCAGATAAGATAATATGAAGATATGGGAACTATAATTGTTTTATTTTTAGTATTGCTAATATTAAAAGTAAACCCAATATATGAGCCTGTGTACTACATTTCTGATAACTGTGTGGAAATACAAAAAGAAGCTAGATTGAACACATGCCATTTGCATTGTTTCACTTCTCTGCTTAAAACCTTGTGATAGCTTCCTTTTTTTTCTTAGAATAAAGTCCAAACACCCATTATTTGGCCCCGGTTTACCTCTTCAGCTTCCTCTTCTCAATCACTCTTGAAGTACTAAGTGTGGGTACACTCTCCTTCCTTTATTATCTAGCAGAGCTGTTTTACTGTCCTAGGCCTTTGAACATCAGCTTCTTATATATGAAATTTTCTTCCCATTCAACAGCCTTAGCCTGAAAAAATTCTTCTCATCCTTCATGCTCCAGATTAAATGGCACACCCTTGAGGTAACTTTCTCAGACCCACAGATTAAACGAGATCCCCCTATTGCAACTTTTCCATATACAGTATATTTCTATATAGCACTTTCCACGCTGTTCGTTTGAACATCTGTTTAAAGTCTGTAAGCCTCATTAGACGGAAAATCAAATAAAATGTATGGACATTGTCTGTCTTGTTACAACTATATGCCTAACTTCTACTACACACTCAATAAATACCTGTGGAAATAATACAGATGAAACCAATAACTGTAAATTTTACTGTGAAATAAGGATAGGAGAAAGCACTGCAAGTGTTCCTTGAGGGGATGTGAAAAGGTGGAAGGAACTAGGCATTTGTGGCCATCTGGATATACCCCTGAATTCAAATATAATTTTTTATCAGCTTGCATGAGGTCAACTTTTCATAGCATTTTTCTGAGGTTAAAGGCAACTCATGCACATTTTAGAAAATTCGGGAAAAAAGATAAACACATAGGAGAGTGAAGCATGTCATCATTTAGAGCAAAATATTTTCTTATTTATGTGTGATAATTACAGACGTGTGGGGGGAGCAATACTAGCAGGTATACACTTCCACATAATCATATAAATGAGGACTGTACTAGAGGCAATCACTTCTTCTAGCTAAGGATGCATTTTACTTCCCTAGGTTGTATTTATTTAACTTATACGACACAAGAAACCTCTTCAGTAGTGCCAGCTGGGTCTAATAAGGGGAATAGGTGATTTAAAACAAAAACCTTCTCCAAAAATTTGAAACTGCGAGCGAACGCATGGTGGTGCTGTTGACTAAGAAGGTGAAATTAACTACAGCCATTATGCATACTCGGGAAGGCAGGAATCCGGTGCGGTAAGCGAGGGTTTGTGAGCCTAGGCAGGCTTGTAAGCAAACAAATCAGCGGCTCTGGAAAGGATTATTTGTTACACTGCCTCCAAAGGTTGGGGCAAAAGACTTTGCTCTCAGCGCTGTCTGTGGCTCAGCTTGGCGACATTCCCTGGAAGATCAAGGCGAAAGTGCAATGAAGGCAAGAGGGGAGCGCTTTCTTAGACAAAGGCAAGTCCTACTTCTCTTTGTTTTCTTGGGTGGGTTTCTGGCTGTGTCAGAGTCCGGTCGCTATTCTGTGGCTGAGGAACAAGAGAGGGGCTTTTTAATAGCCAACCTAGCAAAGGATCTGGGACTGAGGGTAGGAGAACTGGCCGCGAGGAGAGCCCAAGTTGAGTCCAAAGGGAACAAACGGCATTTTCAGTTCAACTATCAGACGGGTGATTTGCTCCTGAATGAGAAATTGGATCGGGAGGAGCTGTGCGGCCCCACAGAGCCATGTATACTGTATTTTCAGGTATTGCTGCAAAACCCTTTACAGTTGTTTACAAATGAGCTCCAGGTCACAGATGTAAATGACCATTCTCCCATATTCCTTGAAAATGAAATGCAGCTGAAAATCCTAGAAAGCAGTCCACCAGGAACAACATTTCCTTTGGAAAATGCTGAGGACTTGGATGTGGGAAGAAACAGTCTCCAAAACTACACAGTCATTCCCAATTCCCATTTCCACGTTCTCACGCGCAATCGTAGGGACGGAAGGAAATACCCAGAACTAGTGCTGGACAAAGCGCTGGATCGCGAGGAACTGCCGGAGCTCAGTTTAACACTCACAGCGCTGGATGGCGGATCTCCACCCCGGTCTGGGACAGCCCAGATCAACATCCTGGTGTTAGACATAAATGACAATGCCCCAGAATTTGCACAATCTCTCTACGAGGTTCAAATTCTAGAGAACAGTCCCCTTAACTCCGTCATTGTCACTGTCTCAGCTACTGATCTAGATACAGGAAATTTTGGGACAATAGCATATGCATTATCCCACGCTTCGGAAGAAATTCGCAAAACTTTTCAACTAAACCCAGTTACCGGTGATATTCAACTAGTCAAGTACTTGAATTTTGAGGCGATTAATACTTACGAAGTCGACATAGAGGCCAAGGATGGCGGAGGACTTTCCGGAAAATCCACAGTCATAATTCAGGTGGTGGACGTGAATGATAACCCACCGGAACTGACCTTATCGTCAGTTAACAGCCCTATCCCAGAGAATTCGCTGGATACTGCGGTAGCTATTTTCAGAATTTCCGATCTAGACTCTGGAGACAATGGAAGGATGATGTGCTCCATCCCGGAAGATCTTCCCTTCGTCCTGAAACCATCCGCAGAGAATTTTTACACTCTAGTGTCAAAAGGAGCGCTGGACAGAGAGAAGAGAGCCCAGTACAATGTAACTATCACCGTCACTGACTTGGGTACCCCCAGGCTGAAAACGCAACACAACATAACGGTGTGGGTTTCAGATGTCAATGACAATGCTCCAACTTTCACTCAAAGCTCCTACACCCTGTTTGTCCGCGAGAACAACAGCCCCGTCCTGCACATGGGCAGCGTCAGCGCCACAGACAGAGACTCAGGCACCAACGCCCAAATCACCTACTCGCTGCTGCCGCCCCAGGACCCGCACCTCCCCCTCGACTCCTTGATCTCCATCAACGCGGACAACGGCCACCTGTTCGCTCTCAGGTCGCTGGATTACGAGGCCCTGCGAGCCTTCGAGTTCCGCGTGGGCGCCACAGACGCAGGCTCCCCGGCGCTGAGCAGCGAGGCGCTGGTGCGCGTGGTGGTCGGGGACGACAACGACAACTCGCCCTTCGTGCTGTACCCGCTGCAGAACGGCTCTGCGCCCTGCACAGAACTGGTGCCCAGGGCAGCCGAGGCGGGCTACCTGGTGACCAAGGTGGTGGCGGTGGACGGCGACTCGGGCCAGAACGCCTGGCTGTCCTACCAGCTGCTCAAGGCCACGGAGCCCGGGCTGTTCAGCGTGTGGGCGCACAATGGCGAGGTGCGCACCGCCAGGCTGCTGAGCGAGCGCGACACAGTCAAGCACAGGCTCCTTGTGCTGGTCAAGGACAATGGCGAGCCGCCAATGTCGGCCACCGTCACGCTGCACGTGCTCCTGGTGGACGGCTTCTCGCAGCCCTACTTACCGCTCCCAGAGATGGCCCCGGACGAAGCCCAGGCCGACTTGCTCACAGTCTACTTGGTCATTGCGTTGGCGTCGGTCTCGTCGCTCTTCCTGTTCTCCGTGCTCTTGTTTCTGGCGGTGTGGCTGTACAGAAGGAACAGGGCCGCCTTGGTGGATTGCAACCCAGTGCCTGACAGCAACTTTCCGGGCCACTTGGTGGACGTAAGGGGCACCGGGACCCTGTCCCAGAGCTACCAATATGAGGTGTGCCTGATGGGAGCCTCTGGGATAAAGCAGTTCAAGTTCCTGAAGCCAGTTATCCCCAGTGGTCTAGTTCAAGACACTGAGCAATACTAGAGCAAAACTCCAATTGCAGGAATAGCTTAGGTTTTCATTAACAGAAGATCAAAAAGTAGTCATTTGATGATGCTATGAATTTTTTTTTTTAATCAAGCGTTTTGATTTGCTACAACATTTTGTTTACGTACTGGTTTTACTTTCTATGAAGTTAATCCATTCATATTCTCCTTTTTCCGTTTGCTTCATATTTTATCAACACAATCATAATTCCTTCTTTTCTTTTTCTAATAGGTTAGAAAAAATAAATTCGTTATCTTTTTAATGATTATTTCAAATAGGTTTATTTTTCTAAAAACTACTTCCAAATTCTATATCCAAAGCAATGTAGAGTTTCAAACCACCAATCTTATCATGTTGAATATATTAATACAATGCTCTGTATAACACTCCTAAAGCAGCTTTGTCTATGGTTAATGAAGTTTGAGTATAGATAAGGATGTGTTTTCTTTGAGATGTAGTGGTGTTTCATTTTTTAGGAGTATGAGACTCAAATAAAAATAGTACATTTCATTCATTTTCTGTATTCATATTTGCAATTATTATTTCAATATTGTACATCATTATATTGGCCATAGATGGACAAAAATTATAGTATTATGGGGAAAGTTACTCTTAGGTTTGCCTAAAGTGAATTCATGATGTCTGAGGGAAAATAATTAATCTAATTCAAACAACTGATTTTGCTTTTCCACTTGGTATGAAGACATTCTTTAGTAAGTTGTTTGGTAGCATGACAACTCAGTTTATAAATTCTGAGATTAAAATGCGGTCAACCTCAGGGCCATTTATTTTTCATTTCAAAAATATACGTGTGTGTGTATATACGTATATATTCTCTAAATGCTTAATGGTAAAAATAGTGTCTGACCCAATCCTACTTTATTATTAATCCCTCTTTGACATTTATGTAGTGATATATGAGGGAAGTATTTTCTTTATTTCCTATCTTGATTCCCTCCTTCAGATTTTAACTTGATGTGATTTAGGATTTTAAATGGTCTGTCTGCAATAAACACTGTTCATCCACATCAACATTCTACCTCTTACAGGGTAAGTACACGAAGATGTACAAGAATAGGAAGTTTTAAAGAGGAGAGAACAATATCATTATGAAAGTCTGAATTAGCCGTGATTAAGAATAAAATCCAGAAGCAGCCTGTGTATAGTTCATATTTTTCACCAACACTGTAATTCAAAGGCATCAATTCTTCTTCAGTCTTCCTTATTCATTGTCCAACTTTTGCATGCATATGAGGTGGTTGAAAATACCATGGCTAAGGTCAGATACACCTCAGTCCTCAAAATGACATGTTTGCTTTTTAACACTTTAAAGAGGTCTTTTGCAACAGATTTGCCCAATGCAACACGTTTTTTGATTTCTTGATTGCTGCTTCCATGGGCATTAATTGTGGATCCAAGTAAATGAAATCCTTGACAATTTCAATATTTCCTCCACTTATCATGATGTTGCTTACTGGTCCGGTTGAAGGATTTTTGTTTTCTTTATGTTGAGGTGTAATCCATGCTGAAGGCTGTAGTTTTTGATGTTATCAATAAGTGCTTCAAGTCCTCTTCACTTTCAGCAAAACAAGGTTGTGTCATCTGCATATCGCAGGTTGTTAATGAGTCTTCCTCCAATCCTAATGCCACGTTCTTCTTCATATAGCCCAGCTTCTTGGATTATTTGCTCAGTATACAGGTTGAATATGTATGGTCAAAGGATACAACCCCGATGCACACCTTTCCTGATTTTAACCACATAGTATCCCACTGTTCTGTTTGAACAACTGCCTCTTGGTCTACGTACAGGTTCTGCATAAGAACAATTAAGTGTTATGGAATTCCCATTCTTTGAAATGTTATCCATAATTTGTTATGATCCAGATAGTAGAATGCCTTTGCATAGTCAATAAGACACAGGTAAACAACTTTCTGGTATTCTCTGCTTTCAGCCAGGATCCATCTGACATCAGTAATGATATCCCCGGTTCCACGTACTCTTCTGAATCTGGCTTGAATTTCTGGCAGTTCCCTGTCAATGTACTGCTGCAACCAAATTATCTTCAGCAAAACCCTTCTGAATAGTGATGCAAAAATCCTCAACAAAATATTAGCAAATGAAATCCAGCAACACATAAAAAGTATTATATACCATGACCAAGTAGAATTTAACCCAGGAATGCAAAATTGGTTCAGCATATGAAAGTTCATTTATATACAATACATGATATTAATAGAATAGAGGACAAAACAACAAAATCATCTCAATTGATGCAAAAAAAAAACCATTTTATAAAATCCAACACTTTTTCATGATAAAAATATCAAAAAACTAGAACTAGAAGGGAATGTCCTAAAACTGATAAAGGCCAACTACGAAAAAAAAAAAAAAAAAACCCATAGCTAACTTCATACCTAATGGTGAAAGACCGAAAGCTTTCTCCCTAAGTTCAGGAACAAAACAAAGATGTGCTCTCTCAGCATTCCATTCAATATTGTACCAGAGGGTCTAACAGTGCAATAAGGTAAGCAAAAGAAATAAAATCATCCATATTGGAATGGAAGTAGTAAAACTAGCTCTATTTGTAGATGACATGGTCCTGTATAAAGAAAATCCTGAAGAATTCACACTCAACTACTGACAACAATAAAAAGTTCATCAAGGTTGCTGAATACAAGATCAACATACAAAAATCAGTTGTATTCCTATGAACCAGCATTGAACAATCCAAAAATAAAATTAAGAAAACAATTATATTTATAACAGCATCAAAAAGAATAAGATACTTAGGAATAAACTTCACAAATGAAGTGCAATACTTCTGAAAACTACAAACCATCATTGTAAGAAATTTAAAAAGACCTAAGTAAATGAAAAATGTTCATGGATTGGAAGACTTAATATTATTAAAATGGCAATACTCCTCAAATTGGTCTATAGATTCAATGCAGTCACTACCAAAATCCCAGCTTTTTTCTTTTTTTTTTTTGCATAAATTGGGAAGCTGATCCTAAGATTCACATGGAAATGGAAGAAAGCCAGAATAGCCTAGACAGTCATGAAAAAAGAACAAAGTTGGGGAATTCATACTACTCGATTTTAAAGAATGTATTCTAAGTTAGACATTAGATACTTGAATATTTTGATACATTGAACATATAGATACCATCTTTTTATTGTGGTAGACATTGTCTTATATTCCATCACAAATTTCTAAAGTCAAAATTCTCCATATTTATATAAAACAATTATTCAAATACCTCCTTCTTACATTTGTATTTCAATGGGTTTAATTTTTTTTTAAACGCCTAAAACGTTAAAGTTAAAAACCCGGGGGAAGGTAAAAATTAGTTTGCTTTCACCAAGTGAGCAGTTTTGTTTGCTTTACAGCTATTACATTCAGATGGCCAGCTCATCTAATTATCTATTATATATCTGTCTTGTATAGTAGAAAATTCCTAAAAGTAATTCCTTTTATAAGAATTTCAAATCAAATCCATAAAACCTTTCAGATTAACCAATTATTGTTAGGTTAACACTTTGGTATAATGATAGTATTTGAAGTACAACTTAAAACTAAAAATACTGGTTAAAAATCTAATACCTATTTCACTAATTTATCTCTTTCAACAATTACTGTTTAATCTCCCTCTACCTTTCCATTTCAAGAGCAAAATAGCTTCCAAATTATCATGAAGTTTTAAAAATCTCTCTCACTTAAAAAAAGAAAAATTCCTTGGAGACTATTCAAAACTTCCTGGATGGATTTAGCATGTCGAACTTCAGAACTACTTGTATTCAATTTTTTTTTTTTTTAGCGATTTTTATCCTCCCTTCAATGATGTTTTAAGTTCCTGCCTATATTTACCAGGGAGGGGTTAACACTGATATTTAGTTTCTTGGGCACCCTTATATCTATCCCATCTCCTTTTGTATATTCAAAATGAAAAAAAAAAGATTTTAAATATTATGCTTTGGGTCTAGCAACCAACTATGTAAATAGTCACATGAGTCCTTCCGGATGGATGATGCACCTCTCTTGATGGGAATGGCATGGTTTTTCAGGTGATCATTATTTACATCACTTAATTCTGCTTCCATGTAGATATAATACAGTAGATAAATATAGCAATTTGGGAACATAATCCATGACATAATATGCTAGGCCATCCTTCTCTGCCACCTTTCTTGATTTTAATTTTAAACCCTTTACCAGAATGTAATAACGTTACAAAAGATCTATACATACACAGTTTTTCCAATATTAAGGCTACAGGGAATTCATTACATATGTCACTCTTAAAAAAATTTATGCATAATTAATAATCTTAACAAAAACACTGAGTGCTCATTTTCCTTCCAATTTTTGAGCTTTACCAGTATCTGCGTTTGGTGGTAGTTACCTCTAAAGGGAGACAAAGCATTTCAAAGCCCTGGTGGTACAGTGGTTAAGAGCTTGGCTGCTAACCAAAAGGCTGGCAGTTTGAGTCCACCAGCTGCTCCTTGGAAACCCTACAGGGTAGTTCTACTCTGTCCTATTGGGTCGCTATGAGTCAGAATTGACTCCAGAACAACGGGTTTGGGTTTTGGTTTTTGTTTTTAATATTAATTGAAAACTTGAACAAAAATATACCTCATCTAAGATATATATGTACTCAAGGCAAGGCTGAAGTTTAGATCTAAATTATCTAAAATGTTGTTCACCTGCCCAGTTCTACTTAGCCAGATCAGAGAATGGGTTCTGGAGCCACACTGTTCAAATTTTGGCTCTGCTGTTTCACATGGTGTGTGATTTGGGGCTGGTTATTTAAACTCTCTGTGCCTTAACTGCTTCGTGTATAAAATGTGGCTAATAAGTGATTACCGCATAGGGTTGTTTGGGGAATAAAATGAATTAACATATGTAGAACATTTAGGATAGCTTTCAGCATACAGTGGCATATATACTAATATTATATATACTTTGTTTGATTTTGAACTGACAAAAGAAAGTGACAACAGGTAATTCTCAACCTTATTTTTATGTCAACATGTAAGAATAGACAAAAATATCTTTTTAATTTTTTTTCTGAACTCTTTTGCTTGAAACTAACTAGAATCTGTTTATTAGATTATGAATAATTTTCTCTTTATTTTGCTCAGGAGATTTGTTTTCCATCTGTGTCTAAAATAATATTCTTTATTTTCATTCCTTTCAATATATATTTTTTACTTTTTTATTCCACTTAATGTTGATGCATATTGTATCTCCTCTGATTTTACCTTAAATATGAAGGAAAAGTTTAAGGTTATAATAATAATTATTATGATCATTACCATTCGTATATCCCTTGTTGGAATGAATTAATAGGAATAGAATCAAAGTAAATTTAACTGAATAGTGCTTGTCATGTATTATAGTCTCACATCTCAGAACCTTGTACTCCATTTCAGACATGTTCATGACTAGATTATGACCTGATAATAATCTACTTATATAGGTAGAGACTTAATTATTTGAGTAGGTAAATTTATCCATTTATTCAATTCATATTTATTGAGTAACTACTATGACCCAGGATTCCTTTAAAAAATAATGTTGACTAATCCTTTCCATCACTACCAGAATCTGAGACTACTGACATGCTTAAAAATAATCCATTCAACATGAATTCTTGGCTTCTATCATAAGAAATGTTAGTGCATTGGATATTGCACTTTATTTTATCTATATAGTTTAGTCTGGAAAAAGCAGCTAATTCCTCAATTGCAGTTGAGGGTAGAATAAATTAGCAAGATATTTTTGAAAATCCTATAGGTGCAAGATTAGCGGTATACCATTCAATATACTAATTG